TTTTAATTAGAAATGCCGTCACAAAGTGAAGATGCCAGACCACTTGATCGACTGCGCAATGTCTTTACGCCTCTTAGCCCCTTTTATTTAAAAAAAAAAAACCCTGAGTACAATGTTTGTTCTTCCCAACTGCTCCTAGTGCCTAAATGTGGGTACATTAAGGAATCTTAAGGGCAAAGAGGGTGGGGTGGAGGGGACAGAAAACCTGTGATCCTTGGTGCAACTCCAAGAATGCAATGACACTTGATTGCTTACATTTTCTTAGCAGACATGACCACTTACCACCAAGAAGGGCAGATGCAGCTGCCCCGAGCTGATGCCATTCGTTCACGTCTCATCGATACTTTCTCTCTCATCGAGCATTTGCAAGGCTTGAGCCAAGCTGTGCCGCGGCACACTATCAGGGAGTTACTTGGTCAGCAGCCTATTTCTTCACTAATTTAAATTTAAGACTCCTATGCACATACTCTACATTTAAGAGTGGAAAATTCTAGGGAGGTCGGTTTAGTTGCTGGTTTACCACACTTGATAAATCAAGGGCTTGTAAATAAAACTGAGGAGATAGAATCCGTGTCTTTCACTTTTAGGCCTAGGATAGCCACTAGCCATGGGTGATTCGGAAAAGTTTCTGTCAAAGACACTTAAGACTTTGTGAACCTGTTGCTTTTGTGGGCATGGACAGTGTTGATCATAAGCAGTACATTTTCTCTCCCTCCAAACAGAATTCTTAGTTGCTGTGAGAAGAGAAGGACCAGCAGTAAGGCATTAGGGGGACCCGTTATCTGACCAATATCCCTGCCCCCAACCCTACCTGCTCTATTTTCTTTGTCTTTATCCACTATCCCTTTTTAATTTTTGTTGTAGATCCTTCCCGCCAGAAGAAACTTACGTTGGGAGATCAACACCAGCTAGTGCACTTCTCTATAAAGCCTCAACGTATAGGACAGATTTCACATGCCCAGAGGCTGTTGAGCAAGCTTCATGTGCGCTGCAGTCAGAGGCCACCTCTTTCTTTGTGGGCCAGATGGGTCCTTGAGTGTATCCTTTCACATCACTCATTTTTGTCCTGGCTGTTGATGATCTGCCTAATGACTTATTTTTGCTCCCCAAACTCCATTTTCTCATTCTCACCGCTTATGTTATTACCCTTATTATTTCAGCTGCATAAATCAGAAAGAACTCCACTCTATACGTTTCCTTAAGAGACAACAGGTCCTCTCTTCAAAAACTTCATCATCTTCCTGATCTTTTTGAATACGATCGTATTGAAGAACTGACATTGTATGAAAGAGGAAGTGAGGCCAGGTACGACAGCTCACACGTGTAATCCTAGCTAGCACTTTGGGAGGCGGAGGCAGGCAGATTGCTGGAGCTCAGGAGTTCAAGACCAGCCTGGGCAACATGGTGAAACCCTGTCTCTACTAAAAAATTACAAAAAATTAGCCGGGCGTGGTGGCATGGCCTGTAGTCCCACCTACTCAAGACTTGTCTGAGTCAGGAGAATCCCTTCACCCCAGGAGGCGGAGGTTTCAGTGAGCGAAGATAATGCCACTGCATTCCAGCCTGGGCGACAGAGTACAACTCTGTCTCAAGAAAAAAAAAAAGGAAAAGAAAGTGGGTAGGAATAATTTTTTTTTCTAAATTGATCATTTTACATTTTTGAATGTCATTTGAATTGTGACATTTATATTAAGGACAATTATATTAAAAGCCTCCTAGAGTAGGATTTATACAACTGCTAAAATGTAGAAATATTGGCTGGGCACGGTAGCTCACACCTGTAATCTCAGCACTTTGTGAGGCCGAGGTGGTTGGGTAACTTGAGGTCAGGAGTTCAAGACCAGCCTGGTCAACATGGCGAAACCCCATCTCTACTAAAAATTCAAAAAATTAGCTGGGTGTGGTGGCGGGCAACTGTAATCCCAGCTACTCAGGAGGCTGAGGCAGGAGAACACTTGATCCTGGGAGGCGGAGGTTGCAGTGAGCTGAAATCACGCCACTGCACCCCATCTCAAAAAAAAAAAAAAAGAAATATTAATATTTGGAGGGCTTTCAAGAGTATACTAGATACGGAGCATCTAGACACATAAAACTAGCTGTAATATGTAGCAATGTAACAAATCCACAAGGAACTGAACTTAGGAAGACCACTTTTATTTCTGCTGTGAGTTTAGCCTGACATTTGTTTGAATTAATGTTTTCTGTTAAAGATACTGGTGCCTATCCGTGAACGATCTAACATTTACATTTCTTTTTTTTTTTTTGAGACGGAGTCTTGCTCTGTTGCCCAGGCTGGAGTGCAGTGGCGTGATCTCATCTCACTGCAAGGTCCGCCTCCTGGGTTCATGCCATTCTTCTGCCTCAGCCTCCCTAGTAGCTGGGACTACAGGCACCCGCCACCACACCCAGCTAATTTTTTGTATTTTTTAGTACAGACGGGGTTTTTTTTTTTTTTTTTTTTCTTTTTTTTTTTTTGAGACGGAGTCTGGCTCTGTCGCCCAGGCTGGGGTACAGTGGCCAGATCTCAACTCACTGCAAGCTCCGCCTCCCGGGTTTACGCCATTCTCCTGCCTCAGCCTCCCAAGTAGCTGGAACTACAGGGCCCCCCACCTCGCCCGGCTAGTTTTTTTTGTATTTTTTAGTAGAGACGGGGTTTCACCATGTTAGCCAGGATGGTCTCGATCTCCTGACCTCGTGATCCGCCGTCTCGGCCTCCCAAAGTGCTGGGATTACAGGCTTGAGCCACCGCGCCCGGCCAGAGACGGGGTTTCACTGTGTTAGTTAGGATGGTCTCAATCTTCTGACCTCGTGATCCGTCCGCCTCGGCCTCCCAGAGTGCTGGGATTACAGACGTGAGCCACCGCACCCGGCCTAACATTTACATTTTTACAAGTATATTTAGAAGATTATTTAAGTACAAATAAGAAAGCTCACAAAGTATGAAAAGATAGGTACTACTAAGATATTAGCTGAGCCAAAAAAAATTACTTAAAAGGAAATGATTCTTAAACCAATAATAAATTATATGAAAATTATTCAGAACATAAGGCTGTCTGCAAAATCAGTGAGCTCATTTGTTGATAATCTCAAACTGCTCAGAAATGATGAAAGGACAGTAGAACTACTCATTTGTATCATTTTCACTCTTGTGGGGAAGTCTCCCACTTTATTTTTTAGAGGCAGAGTCTCATTTTGTTGCTTAGGTTGGAGTGCAGTGGTGTGATCATGGCTCCTTGCAGCCTCGCCCCTCAGGGCTCAATTGATCCTTCCACCTCAGCCTTCTGAGTAGCTTGGAGTACAGGTGCGTGCCACTACACCAGGCTAATTATGTTGATTTTTTTTTTTTTTTTTTTGTAGAGACAGGATCTTCCTATGTTGCATGGGCTGGTCATGATCTCCTGGGCTCAAAAGATCCTCATGCCTCAGCCTCCCAAAGTGCTGGGATTACAGGCATGAGTCACCACGTCCAGCCTAGGGGGAATATTTAAGAGAAGGGCATAGTTATGAAGCTCTTGGCTGTTTATGTCACATAGATATTTTCCTCAACAGAAATGTCCAGTGCCTGTAGCCAGTTCAGAACTCTGCCTCTAGGTCCAAGTCCCCTACAAGTTTATCTCTGGGGCCCAGGCATGGTGGTTCATGCCTGTAATCCCAGCACTTTGGGAGGCTGAGGCAGGAGGATCGCTTGAGCTCAGGAGTTTGAGACCAGCCTGGCTAATGTGGAGAAACCTCATCTCTACAGAAAATACA